AACAAGAATTAAAAACTCTTAACAATGCACTCATTTTAGAAGTAATGCTGAATTATATATATATGTATATATACACACACACACACACACATATATATATACTACATTAAAGTTGAAATCAACTTGAATACTGCCCCACATAGATCCTCCCCTATTTCTCCCCTATTTCTAAAATTAAATAGTTATTACAATTGGTTAGTTACAGATTCCCATACTATTGTAAGATAAAAAAATCAGACATATTTTTTTAGTTCTTCCAAAGGTAACAAATTGCAAGACTATGATATTATATGACAATCATGATGTGGGAAATAATACAATCAATCCATCTTATTCTGATTCCCCAGCTTTACAATGATCCACGTATTTAAGTTCTTTGGATTTTTATATAGGTTGTATACCCTGTCATGATCTAACAAGTTCTAATAGCACAGAATTCCTTCTAATTGTCATGTTATAGTCATATCTGTCTTATCTCCTATCCCTACCATAACCTTCTAGGCAAGTGCATCCTTAACTCACATACGCTTGGGTGCACATTACTGCTTCTAAACTGTGCAGCTACTGACCCCAGGAAATGATCAGAAGTCCCTGGTGGACTTTTCTATTTTGCTCAGGGCATGGCTCAAACAGAGACCCTTGGGATATTCTGTCCTTCACAAATACCATCTTAGGGATGCTCTCTCCTGGAGAGCACCAACCAAAAGGAGAAAATCTGTGTTGCCTGTTCAGGTATTCTTGAAAACACAGAAAGCAAGAATGGCTTACAATTTGGTAAGTTCACAATGCCTTCTCCAACCCATGGATAGATGGCACACAGAGAGAAGGAAAGAAGAAATGAAGAGGTATCATAAAGGAGCAGACAAGAGGGTCATTCATGACATGGACTTTTATGTTTATATGCTATAGCAAAAAGTCACTAAGGGCAATTTGCATTTCCATCTTTATAACTGTAAGGTCAGAGGCTTCAAACTAGGAAGTTCTGGGTAAAGTTCTACAATCATCTTTGTGACAAACAAGACAGACAGGGAGACAGAGAAACACAGAGACTCAGAGACAGAGACAGAGATGAATTAGAGTTGGCCTAATGCATTTCAGAGCATTGTTTTGTGCCAGGCAAATAAAATTGACCTTTTACTGAAGAGAGTAAACAATTCAGATGGGTTAACACTAAAAATATTCGTGCTACTCTCCAGAATTCACAACATTTTGTGAATATTCCGTGTTTGATATGTCATTTGATATGTATATTTAACACTTGAGACTTTTAATTATCTCTTTACTTGTGAAACTTACAATGTGGCTGAAAGATAAAATAGCTTCTGTAACCATGAAATATCCCCCAACCTTTTACCTAAAACTCCCAAAATATGTAGTGAACCTTGGGTTTCCTTAATTCACTAAGTATCTCATTGAAGACTTGTAGCATTTAAGGTAAGTTTAATTTTACTTTTATTGAAATTTAAAAGTCTTAGTGGTTATTTACTTATTTAAGGAACAGAATACAAAGATAACAAGTAAATAATCTCAAAATTGAACATATTTGTTTAATTCTTTTCAAAGTACCCTTAAATATGTACTAAAAGTGTTTTATCCCATATATAAATGTATGTGTGTGTGTGTGTGAGTGTGTGTGTGTGTGTGTGTGTGTGTGTGTGTGTGTGTGTGTGTGCCTTCACTAATGGGCTCACTGTCTAGAACTTAGACCAAAACCATAGATTGATAAACATTTCATTAACTTCATATAAAATATTCGGAAAAAACATTATTTTATTTATTCTTATTTCTCCATATTTGCCAATTATGTACTTTCTGGTATCTTAGGTCTACAAGAGGCCCCCTCGGTGCCTATTTTTATTATCTTTAAATTTTTCTTTTACACTGTTGTTAGCCCTTCTACATATGTATCTGAGAAATTACAAGCCCATCATTCATGTCATTTTATTTTTCTGACTCTTAAATGATTTAGAGTCTCCTATAAAACCAGGAAACAAGTAGGACAATGTCACCACAACTTCTGTGTTTACTCCTGGGACAACAGGAGTCATCTCATCCCCATATTTCTCTCTCTAAATTAAATATGTTCTCAGAACACCCAAGGCTTTCACACAAACACCTCTAAACAAAATCTTTCTGTTGACATGGACAATCTCTCTCTGTTTTGTACAGATTATGCATTTCAGTTCTTGATCAAAATTGACTCATTTCAACAAATGCTGTCATACTGTTTACTTTTGAAAAAGAATCCAATTTTAAGCAACCAAATACAGGAAGAGGAAGGGTTCGTGTGGCCTGGTTTTCTAGGTCAAAATATCAGTGGTGCTGTAAGCACTTCCTTCAGATTTAATGTATGTTGCTTCCTGCATGTGCTTTGGTCATTATGAGAATAGAGTGTCCTTTCTCGCCTGATTTCTTACTTATGTTCTTGCTTTTGTTTTCTCTTTGTTACTTTGACTAACTGATGAGTATTATGGGCCATTGGTCATTCATATGCATGAGGAAAATAAAACATTAATGTCCTGTGTACCACCTGAGTTTCATATAACACTCTTTGCCGATCATTACATGAAAACTTTGAAGATGCTCATATTGTCCAGGCATGATGGTATGTACTTGTGCTGCCCAGGCTGGTGTTGAGATCCTTCTTCAACCTCCTGTCCATTGAAAACGAAGAAGCACAAAAGATTATTAATCATTTCTCCACTTAGATGTAATTCAAATAATCTTTACAGCTCATTGAGCAATTTAAATATTTTTACAAAAAAAATCATGTACCTGTGGATTATTGTGTTCTGTATAGTTCTACTGAAGATTTTTCTTATTTTACAGTTTTTTCTTTGTTTATTGTGTTTAAGTAGTTGTACAAAGGAGTGCCATTTAACAAACTAGTTAATGACCATAACACATCTTGATCAATGTCATTCTTTCAACATTCTTATCCATCTCTCCCCTACTCACCACTTCCCTCACTCATCTTTAGTTTATAGGATATACATTGAACTCTTGACTGTATTTTCTCCCCCTTCTCTTCATTAGTCTATGCCTTTCCCCTACCCACCCCAACTCTTTCATGTGATTGCTTCTGGTGTTTATTTTGTTGAACTTTGACTTTACCTTTAAGAAATTATACTATTTGAGTTCTCCCTTGAATATACCATATTTCAGTAAAATTGTCAATCTCTCTCTCTCTCGCTCTCTCTCTCTCTATATATATACATACATATATCATGTACATATATGTACATACATATATCACTAAAGAATTATACTCTTGCTTTGAAAGCTCAGTTCTATGAAAGGGATAGATTCAAATTGATGAAGACTACAATGAGTAGCCAGCATACACAGACACACAGAGATTACCATGGCCACCACCTTTATAACAGATAGGTTAATATAAACATTAACTTCATATATTTGAAAATAAGAACTTACTATCTATAAGGATACAGCAAAAGATCAAGTACATGAAATAAAATACAGGATCAGTTTGAATTTTGAGTAATAAAACTAATTTATTCTCTTAAACTAAATTCCAGTTATAGAAGTGTAATTAGAATAGAGAATTTCAGTTATTTGTGAATAAGAATACTGATAAATTTGGGGATAATGAGTATGTAAAGAATGAAAGATTATAAAGTCTTAGTATCTTTTCTCCTTGAGATGGTTCTCCTAATAGAAGAAATTTGTGTTTATACTTGTTCAGACAATAAAACTTTATCAAGCTGTGAAAAAATCATATATTTATGTATTTACCCATCAGCGTAGGTGGTCAATATCTCTACATGTTTCTTTTCCCTAAGGAGTTACTGTTTCATTGTTACTTCAAAAAATAGACTTTTACTTTAGAATAGTTTTTGATGGACCATAATTTATGACGATAAAACAGAGTTTCTAACATGATGTCAACACTTAATTCCCCTGTTACCATATTAAAATGGAGGGAAAATATTACAATTCTAACAACTTAAAATGGTCAATTTGACAAAACTCCTATAGTACTATTAGTAAGACAATAGAGAATTCACTAATGCCTAAGCTTTATTCCTGGGTTAGTAGCTAATGTTGCCTTTTGTTCTAGCAACCTATCTACTTACCCCATTACTTTTCAATCATCTTGCCTCCTAAGGCAGCTCTAAACAGTAAGAACTTCTCACAATTTCCTTATTTTTTAATCACCTTGATAGTTTTTAGGCATGTTGACTAATATTTTATAAAATGTCTATAAATGTTTCTTAGCTTATTTTGTTTCTTGGTATCCTCATTTCTCTGAACCCTGTGGTAGAACTTGAGATGTAAGGTATTGCAGGAAGGCTACCAGGTCAAGAACAATTTCTCACCACATCACATCAGGGGCAATCAGCTAAAGCATGGCAGATCTTTTTTATAATATCTTGGTCAACAGGATGTGATTGTCTTGCTCTCTCCTCTAAATTTCCTATCATCTCTTCCTATTTGTTTCATAATTCTTTGGGAAGTTAGTCCCTATGTACAACTCAACACAAGTGGTGGAGCTTTGTGCTCCAGCTTCTGGAGGAAGCATCATGTACAAGAGATAAGTGGCATCCTTCCTCTTCGAGAACGTATTTCATCTCCCCTTGATCTTTTAACCATCACTTCTTTTTTTAGTTTTTTTTTTAGGTTTTTTATTGTAAAGATACTGTGCAGAGGGGTAACAGTTACATGAGTATGGTAATGAGTACATTTCTTATCTAGCATTGTTACCCCCCTTCCTTTGTTTATCCCCTACTATCCCTCCCCCCCACCTCCCCACCCCTCTCCAACTCCAGGAAGTAATGTAGAAAATCCCACAGTCTTTGTGCCATATAACTTACTAGGAAATTAATGATTCTGCTTTGATAATGAGATACCAAAGGTCAGACATGACTTCTTCTCTTTATCCCCAGTACAAGAAACCATCACCGTGACAGCTTAAGGCTTTCTGTGATGGGTCAGCATGCATCTGGCAAGGAGCACCGTCACCTGCAGCCACCAGCAAGATGGCCCTTTACAATGACACCCAGTACCACCCACCCACTTTCTTGCTGTTGGGAATCCCAGGGTTAGAAGGCAGCCACATCTGGATTGGATTTCCCTTCTGCGCTGTGTACCTCACTGCCTTGTCTGTGATCCAGAGTGACCAAAGTCTTCACCAGCCCATGTTCTACTTCCTGGCAATGCTGGCTACCATTGACCTGGGATTATCCACAGCCACTATTCCCAAGATGCTGGGCATATTCTGGTTTTGCCTCAAGGAGATAGTTTTTGGTGCTTGCCTCACTCAGATGTTTTTCATTCACATCTTTACTGGCATGGAGTCGGTTGTTCTTCTAGCCATGGCTTATGATCGCTATGTAGCCATTTGTAACCCTCTCCGTTACAGCACAATCCTCACTAACAAGGTTGTATTATTGATCGGTTTGGGGGTTATTGGGAGGTCGTTCCTCACCGTGTTTCCATTCGTATTTCTCATCTGGCGATTGCCCTTCTGTGGACATCATGTCATTCCACACACTTATTGTGAGCACATGGGCCTGGCTCGGCTTGCTTGTGCAAACATAAAGGTCAACATCATATATGGTCTTGGAACCATTGCTTTTCTGGGCTTTGACATCATAGCCATTGCTGTCTCCTATGTCCACATTCTCCGTGCTGTTTTTCGTCTGCCCTCACAGGAAGCGAGGCTCAAATCTCTGAGCACCTGCGGTTCCCATGTCTGCGTAATTTTGGCCTTTTATACCCCAGCTCTCTTCTCTTTTATGACGCATCGCTTTGGCAGAAATATTCCCCGATATATTCACATCCTTATGGCCAACTTGTATGTGGTTATTCCCCCAATGCTTAACCCTGTCATCTATGGCGTCAGAACCAAACAGATCAGAGAAAGGGTGTTGAGGATATTCATCCAGAAGTAAATGGCAAAAAGCTTGCCAAAATAGTGTTTTGTCTATGTGCTGAGTAATCTGATATTGGATATACAATAATAACTAAGCATGTTTGTTTATTTGTGCTATAAAATGCAGGAAGAGTATCTACATGTAAACAGGTAAACCAACATTCCATATGTATGACAAAATTTATATAATTAAAGATGTCTTTTGAAAAAGTTTCAAAGCATAACAAAAAAGGAAAGAGAGAGAACAGGATTTTGGTATAGTAAAGTATGTTAATTTTACATTCTAGATATGGTTGTACCATATTTGGGGAAGGCGACTTTTGATCAGCTATCAAGGTTTGAGTTATTTCATTTTTTCTTATATGATAATAAAAGTAGCAGCAATTAAAGCTCTAGGATGTTTTTTAATGAAATGATTTAAAGTCATTTCATGTCATATGATTAATACTAAATAAATATATTTATTAAATTGTATTTTCAACCAAGTGTCTTAATGATATATATAGATACATAGATGTATGTATATATCTATGTGTATGTATGTATCTATATATTTATGTGTAGTTTAATTCTATAATATATTCTTATAATTTTATTATGTATGATCATATAGATCTGTGTATATATATATGTATATATATATATATATTGTTTTGCACTAAATGCTTTCTGGTGAGTATAGTTTTAGCTTTTGGTGCAGAAGAATATATAATGTATATATGTGCATAATTGTGTTTGTCAGTGTGTATATATACATAAGGATTGCCTCCTATATTTTAGTCAATTGCCTATTGATATATTTAAAAACAAAATCAAAATTACTTCACAGATTTCAGTAAGTAAAAACTTAAAAAAGAATCAATACCTAAGATTTTTAATTTTAGAACAAATTACATTGATATTTATGTTATTTTTATATTTTTATAAAACTAGAACTGGAAAATAACTCTATAACATCTTACTTAAAATTAAAGACTTGGCTGTATGGCTTGGAAAAACATGTATTAAACCAATATGTTACTCTGCTCTCTATCCTCAAAATAAACCATTGGAACTGGGGGTAAATAAAGGAAGTGGGGAGAGAAGTTGGGAGGGGAAAACCTGGGAGAGAACGAAGGAGAGGGTGGGTGACCCTATTCAAAAGGAAATGTTCTCATTACCTGACTCATGGAACTGTAACCCCTCTGTACATCACCTTTACAATAAAGTTTATTCCCTATTGTCACAGTTTTTTTTTAAATTTCTGTTCCTTTCAACTTGTATATAAGTTTATCTGATTTGGGGAAGCAAAGGGGAAGCACAGAAATGGTGAGACAAAGGGTGAATTAATTGAACAGCGATACTCTCTAGACACTATTTTGGAAATGAACTGTACAACTTGGTGGTATGGGGACTATGAAGGCGACATGGGAGAAAACGAGGGAAGGGGTAACACTGCTCAAAAAGAAATGTCCTCATTACCTTACTTATGAAATGTCCTCATTACCTTACTTTATGTAACTGTAACCCTTCTGCACATCACCTTTGCAATAAAATTTAAATTAAAAAAAAAGAGGCAGGCTTGCTCTTGCTCCTTACCCCAATATTTATTCAACTATTTTTTTCATTCATAGAACCCTGAGACTTAGAATAAAAATAAATAAAATAAACAAAGGAGGAGGCTACAATGCTTGATAAGAAATGTACTCATTATCTTGCCCATGTAATTGTAACCCCTCTGTACAGTATTTTCACAATAAAAAAATTAAAATTAAAATAAATAAATAAAGGAAGAGGTGTCAATGTAAAAAAACAAAAGAAAAAGAAATGTACTCATTAGCTGATTTATGACATGGGAGTCCCTCTGTACAGTAACTTAACAATAATAATCAAATTATTAAAAAATAAATCATAGAACACAGCCTTCTCTCACACCATCCCTGACTTCATCAATGACCCTTTTTTTGTTTTCTTTGCAATCAATGCTCCCATGTGGCTTCTGTACCTTTTATATCTATAAAACACTCTCAGCCCATCTGTTTGTTAGGTTTAATTGACAGTATACTCAAATATCTCTACTACATTCTCATTTCAAATGTTCGCTCTCTTGCTCCACTCTCCATAATTATTTTAACAAGTGGACTATGTTATTCCTACCTTCTTAAACAACTTAGTTGTCCTGTAGAAGATGAGAAAGGAAACCAAGGAAGTCTCCTATGCTGTTGATTAGTTTACATTACTACTACTCCACCATGAACAAAGTAAACAGAAATGAAATTATGTATAATTTAGTAATGGCATATTAGGAAATTAGAATCGATTTTTTTCCACTAAAGTAGACTAGAAAACTCAGACAATATTGTCTGAAGGTAGGAACCAAAACTGTGAAGAACTGCAGGATCAAGTAATAAGGGATTGCTCTAGAAGGAAGGTTCTTCTCTAAGTTGAGACCATCAATTACAGAACAGGATCTGGGAAGATGAAGGCCTGAATAAACTTCATACATGTTTATTTGGCAATGAGGATTTACACTGGATATCAGATTCTTTCAGCTTAAGAGATTTTGAGATCCAATCTAGGTACTGTACTGAGCCATAAAAAGGTTAAAAAAAATGAGTTAAGGAGGAAATAGAAACAGCCAGATGCTGTAATGCCTAAAACAATGGTGAAGCTTAGTGTTTTTGTGTTCCATTGAAAATACACATAATTGAAGGAATAAAATATCCTGCTAAGTTCAAATAATATCTATATGCATATTTTGGACATTGGTTCTTGTGTTTGACTTCAGGACATTGTACTTGCTTAGCAGATGCTCTTCCCTGGATTTGCTTTGTTTATGTATTTTAGTCTCACATTTTTGTCTGGAGGTGACGTTAGCAAAGAATCCTTCTATCTCTACATTTTACATAGTTGGGATCACAGGCATACACAACTATATCTGGCTTATTGGTTGAGGTGGAACCTTGCTGTGTTTTCCTGGGCTAACCTTGTATCCCAAACCCTCAATCTTTGCCTTCTGTATAACCAAGATTACATGTATGTGCCATCATGCCTAGCCTACATTTTTTTATATCCAGTAGGTAGAATGGTCTAAAACAAAACTGGTCAAACAAGAAAACAAAGCAATAGTCATTACAGTAATGATTGTGATGATGATAATAAAAACACACCAAAAAGAGAACAAATAGACAAGATGATTATATTAACACATCATATTTAGCAGACCAAATAAAAATAGTATTTTAAAATTATATATCTCAATACAGAAAATAAGAGAGTATAATTATTAGCAAATTCCTAAACAAAAAGGAACTATCAGGACTTGAAATGAAATGTCTTAAAAATAGAAAGACTTAAGAGAAATTAAATACAAATGCATAAGCAATCACTATAATAAAGGTAATTTTAAAAAGAAAAATAGTAATATGGCAGTGAGAAAAGTAGCATGAACGTTTAAAAATATTGACAAGTAATTTCAGAGACAGTGAAAAGATCATATACAACCATGACGTTGGAGATTAAATATAAAAGAGTATAATGCACCAAGCAAGGAAAATGTTTGATGAATAAATTACAAGAAATTTTGTAAAAAAATAATTGTAAAAATCAAGGATTCAACAATCAAAAAAGTCTTTTCAAAGACAAAACATCAGTGCAAACCAGGGAGCAGATCCATCCCTTTAAAACAATAAAAAGATTCCTAGTTGAAATATTGTAATGCAGAATGGAATAAAATAACATAACTAGCAGTCTGCTAAGAAAAAAATCAAATTCAGAATTTTATGGCCTCAAAATACCACTATAATCAATATGGACTGTAATTATTTTAAACAAGTAAACAGAAGAAATTCACCACCAAGAAATTACAACAAAGGAAGAATTTATGGTTACTCTGGACAGAAGTTAAATTGTTGTTCATGGCATTTTGATGATGTAGAAAGGAATGAGTAATGAAAGATAGTAACTATGTGGAAATATTGAAATAGATATTTTACGAATCAATAAGAAAATAAAAAAAGTTGAATATATAAGGATATATGTACATGTGTGGCAGCATATAAATCTGAATGTGGCTAAATAGACTAAATTTCTAAAGGATTTCTAAGTTCCTTTATTAGGAGAAAGGCAAAAGTATTATTTATATTACACTTGGCTAGTTAACAAAAATGCCCCAAGAAAATGGCTAAAGTTATAGTAAACATTTGTAAAGAATCAAGGCAGATCAGCTATGGTGTTATAATAACAGCAAAATCCCCATGGAAGATTGCTCTTATAAAATCCATAGCTCAGCTATCATTAAAAGACAATACATGTAAAGGGAGTAAATTATATAGAATCAATAACAATCTTATGTTAAATGTGCATAAATTTAGCAATACACTTACTCGAAAAATTTGGCAGATTGCCAGAAGAGAAATTTTATGCTACTTGAAAGGGAAGACAAATGTAAACTAAAAAATATTAAGACCAGGCAAAGAAGGATGGTGTTTACCAAGTTGAGTTTGCAGGCTCAGTTTAAACCTGGTAAACTTCATGAAATGAAGGAAAGTAGCAAATTACCACTTCATCCCAGCCTCCTGAAATATAACAACACTCAAAGAAAATCTACACAGTAATCTTGAGAGATCAAAGAAAGAGTCTCCTGAAACCAATTGTGACTGAGATGGATGCACTGAAATATGATGTAAAATATCTACCCGATGTTGAAAAATAAAGAACAGAGATACAATTTGCTAATGAGTTTTATAAGGGAACTGATGCTGAGAACTGGCAAAGGAAGCAGGTAGAAAATTGAGGCTTCTCTGATATAGCCTCACCTTGAAACTCAGTTTTCACCACAGGCCATTCTGCTGATGGGCCTTTCATCCTTGCCTATGGAACTTCATACTATATTTGGGCCTATTCTTTCCCCTTTCCTTGTATCTTCAATACAATCTTCTTCACGTTGTCATATATCTGCTTGGTTCTGACCCCATATATGACAGGATTGAGCATTGGTGGAACCACAACATAAAGATTGGCCAGGAGTATATGGATATA